TCAAATCGGCCCAGATTCAATCTAGGCCATTGGGCTTATACTATTCCATCAGCTGGTGGGCAAACCCTAGCATTTTTCATATATAAATTTAAATATATATATATATATATATGAAAAATGTTGAGATTAGCCCACTAGCTCATATGAACATATGAGCCCAACGGCCCAGATTGAATCTGGGCCGATCTGACGATCATGACTTTATTTCGTATTTTAATTTTAATTCTTTTTTACAAATCTAAATAACATGAAATTTTAGGCGTGTATTCTTGACAAATAAGAGAATCTAATAAAAATATCAAAAAATAATTTGCAAGAAATAAATTCACCAAAATACCCCTGAAAAGTTTCGGGAGTATTTTAATCAATTTATTTTTTGCGAATTATTTTTTATATATTTTTATTAGGTGCACGTAGATGAGAAGAGTGGACACCTAAACTTTCAAGTTATTTGGATTTGTAGAAAAAAAATTAAAATTGAAACACGAAATGAGATCGTGACCGTATGTTCATTTGAGCTAGTGGGCTAATCTTAGCATTTTCCTATAGGAATAAAAATAAAAATTAATAAAGAAGACAGAGTAACATTCATACATAATAACATTGATTTATAAAATAGAAACAGAAGTACAAGATTTACAGACGCAAAACAAAGATAGGCACTTACATGAAAGCTCAAAGCAGAGGTGAGAGGCAGGAAACAGACTTGAAGTACTCACAGTAATCACTCAAACTTACAACAATAACTCAGAAAGCACTTACTTACAAAGTATTAAAACTCTAGCTATGATATTCAGAAGGAAATTCCTAGGCGCTTACTTCTGAGGCCTGGTCCTCCTTTTATAGAAGAGGGGAGGGCGGACTCCAAATGTTCTTAAGTCCGCACCGACAAGGTAAGATGCCTTTTCTTTCACGCCAAAGCAAAAGGTAGGGTAAAAGCAAAGATTGTTGTCGACTTTTTACTGTAGCAACAATGTTTTTCGGCAATAATGCTTCTTTTACTGTAGCAATAGTGATTGGTGTGTTGACAGTCTTCTTTTACTGTCATTTTTGGGACACATGTCCTGAATGGTGATGGAGTCGGACCGTCCCTGATATTTTGTCTAATTCAGTTGGGAAAATATTCCCATACAATCATCTTCGTTTGGAGGATCCAAATCTTTGGTTTCTGTATCATTTGAGGAAGTAGGTATTTTAACTTCTACTTCTTCTTCTAGGGCAAAGAGTAATTTTTTCCTGAGCTCGGCTTTTGACAGAGTGGGGTTTTGCTGTTGCATCAAAGAAATATAGTCAAAAAATCCCATATCTGATGTTGGTGAAGAATACAGAATTGCCTTCATATAGATTTTATCGGGATCTAGAGAATCATTCTTATAGTTGTCCCACCATTAAATTGAAATTTGTCTTTGTAGTTCTGGAATACAGTCCCACCGGTCTAAGTCATCTTCAGAAATTTGGCAGGACCATTTTAAAATCCAGGGAATCTGATATAAAGCCATGAAATATATGTCATAATCTTGTTTTAGACTAGCTTTATTATATTCAGAGAATTTTTTCTGTGATATTTGAAATTTTTCTAAAAGTATGACTTAATGATCCCCATAACAGGAACCAACTTTTAAACCAGTTTGGAAATTCTGTTGGCTCAGTTCTTTAAACCGCACATACCAGCTGTGTATAATTTTTGCATTCTGGTAACCAAAGACTTCGTCCCATGCCTTAATGTATTCAAAATAATGATAGGATTTGATTTTAAATCCTTTGGTAATTAGTGCCCTTAGTTCTAAGGGATTCAGGCCCCAGTCATTATGAGAGATAATTTTATATATTTAGAATTCTGAATATGCTATTTCCGAGTCATTGTTTCTATAGTGGTGTACTATTGACACCGACCCGATTTCCATTAAAACAGCTTCATACCATTCTCTACATCTTTCTCCCATATTAAGATGTAGATGATGGCGCAGATATATGGCGGCTAATTCAACAAGGTCTATTTCCCTGTGTTCATTTTCTATTATGATCAGTGGGATATAAACTGTATCAAGAAATGGAGTTCTATCAGGGTTTGGACTATTAGAGCCCAAAGGGGATAGTTGAGGAGATACTTGAATCTCTTGAGCTTGCTTTCATATTAAAGCATTTGAATTTGATGAGGACGCCAGGGATTTTCCTGGGCTAGAATTATTTTTAGCCAGG